CTTCAAAGAATATAATATATAATCCCCGGCAAGTGTGATCGTCACACCTAGCAATGGAACTAAGATGCTATAGAAAGATCCTAGGTATCCGTTATAAAGACCGCATCACAAATGAGAATATTAGAAATAGAATTATACACTACGATAATCTGCTTGTAAAGAAAAGTTCCCATTTCAGACTTTGCTATCTATAAGGAAGATGCTGTTAAGGTGATCTGTTTCTTTGGTCAACGGTTAACGAGCAGGGTGTCATGTGGCCAACATAACGACCAACCGCCTTTACTTTGCTCAACTTAAGTCAGATACCCATAAGTAGGGTGGACTTAGGGGTGCCCTAAAAAATCATGAAATTCAAAATCCCAATCTTCTCCGAAATTCGAACCCAGGACCCCAGGCTTGGAAGCCAAGCGCTTAACCACTCAGCCATTGCGCTCCATAATAACCTGCTAAGTACTGTAAATAAATAAAAAAAAGGCAAACATAATTTCTATGGCCACATCACAAGGCCCTAAGGGCTCGCTTAAGCCTTCCTTCAGGGAACAGTACCAGGAGATAGAATTAGAGGCAGACAGAAAAAGTGATGGAAAAACAACATAAAAGAACGGACTGATCTGTCATTGAATGAAATTCTATTCAAGGTAAAAGACAGAGAGGAATGGAGAAAGACGGTCAACAAATCATGTGTGGTGCCCAAACGGTTTAACAGACTAAGAAATATGTGAAGGTGAAGAAGACCTTGAGCAGGTATAGAGAAGAAGACATTTTTCTAATACACCAGCGGTTCTCAACCTTTTATGCTAGGCGACCCCTTTTTACAATCCACCACACTGCCGCGACACCCCCCCCCCCCAACCGGCAAACACACACAGCAATAGAAGAATAGACAGAAACAATCCATTATTTCGATGGTCTTTGGCGACCCCTGGCAAATCGTCAATCGACCCCCAAGGGGGTCGTGACCCGCACGTTGAGAACCCCTGTAATACACAAACCCAAATGGGGATTGTCGTCTAGGCCAGAGGTTCTCAAACTTTTTTCAGTTCAGGAACCCCTTTTACAAGCCATAACATTTTTGAGGACACACGATGAGCCCAATTCCCATATTTCTAAAGCCACTGACATAATCAAGCGTGTGTGTATTTCTGCTCTGCGCTATCCGCAATGTAAGAATATACTGGAAGCATTAAGAGCAATATCATACACTGTTGTCGCATTGCTAATAGCTTTCTGTTGCTTTGTATATACTCAGGCTTCACATTTTAAGAAATCTATGGGTTTTTCTTTTAGTTTGTTATTATTTTTTTTTACAAGATGACACTTCTAATGAACACGTTTAAAACTTTCGTTCGATAACGTATTGAAACCTATGACGAATTGTGGCTATCGCCTTTGTACGACACAGAAATTCAAATTGTAAATATTCAAGAGCATAGGCGTTGTTTTGTAAAGTAGCTATAAGAAGTACATTTTTTTTTCAACCCTAACCTATGTAAAATTTAGATCTAGATCTAGTAATTGAACATCAAGTAAAAAGTACGCTCGCCTCATAATGATTATTTTGCAATTTTTTAGATAAATAATCTAGAAAGATCTAGGTAATCAATCTATTTAAATGTACACCAGATGACTAAAACCAATAAATGTGAATTATTTCGATCTAGGATTTTCTAAATATCATCTTAATGGAAAATGGAAACTAACAGGAAATGGCTTTATTTCATGAATTTGCATGAATATATAGTTCTGTGATTAATACATAACAATATATATATAAATATATATATATATATGCGATCGCAGCTGTGTATCAAGAATTGGCCTCTTTAGTTACACAAGAAGTTGCAAAGGGAAAAGATCGTCTCTCGAGACGTAAAATGCCACACATATATATATATATAGGTCTGTGAGTTGATCAATCGCGGATAAGAATTTATTTCCGTTTTCCAGGTCTAGGTATAATATATATAGGTCTGTGTTCAATTCTATCACATAACTGTTGGTGATCATTGTTGTTTAGCCTAGCTGGTCAACAAAAGTCATAAAATAGTTCGTAATACACATTAAACAGCAGTGAGAGGCCTCTTGATTATTATTCAAATTATCCGATCCGATTGAAATGGCTTTAAAGGAAGAATTTGTTATAATTGTGTACAATTTTTTTATTTTTCTGTGGACCCCCCCCCCCCTACGGTCGTCCCGCGGACATCTGAGGGTCCGCGGATCAGAGTTTGAGAGCCACTGGTCTAGGCCCTATAAGACGAAGGTTACAAGTTTAAGTTCGAACATAAGTGTGCCGTCTCACTCTCCTCTTGTGTTTGCGGTGTATGGACATGGGGATAAGAAAGGATTGCCACATTGAAAAGCTTTACCCTTGACATGGATACATCCTGGACCTTACACACTATCTCCATCCCCATCCGTTACCCTTGTCAATCCTTCTCAAAGCCCCCCCCCCCCCCCAACTCTCCCCATAAGCTACATGACCAGGACGTAATTGTGACAGGTCGATTGATTGTTGGAGCAGGGGCGATGAAGGAAAAAATAATAAAGTGTACGTAAAGTCTAATAACGATACCGGTATGTAACAACCAAAATACAGAAATTACTTTATAAAAACAAAGCATATCTAAAGAGAAGAACACCCACCATATATCTCAATATTGTACGACTTATTTCCCATTTCTATATAATAAAAATAATAATTGCAACTAATTAATAAAAAAAAAATTCCCATTTCAGACCTTTCGATCTATGATATTAGGACCATCTGTTTCTTTGAACGACGGTTAACTAGCAGGGTGTCACGTGGCCAACACAACGGTGTCACGTGGCCAGCACAACGACCCACCGCCTTTACTTTCTCCAACTAATGTAAGGTATCCATCATCAGAGTTGGGTGGACACAGGAGCGCCCTGAACTTCCCCGACCTTCAGAATCCCAGTCTTCAGTGAGATTCGAACTAAATATCCCAGGTTCGGAAGCCAAAGCTTAATCACTTAATCACTCAGCCACCGCATCCCACTATTTAATTAACTAATTGTTTAATTTTTTTTTATTGATTAGTGTTTTGTTAGCAACAATGAATAATTATGCGAAGTTTCAACTACAACAGAGAAAAGAAAATGGGAGAAATAACGTTTTTAAAATGTGTACCAGACAGACAGACAGAGGGACAGACAGACAGAGTGAGTTGATATAAGCTGCGTAAAAACAAGTACAAAATAATTTTTAAAGTAAGACTAATCATAACAACAAAAATAAAATTAAGCCCACTATATATGAAATAACCAAAATCTTCTGTATCATGGGCGTAGTCAGGATTTTTTTCGGCGAGGGGTTTGGGGGGGGGGGGATATCCCTCCGCCCCCCCCCCCACCCGCGAAAAAAAATTATATGTATGTGTGTGTGTGTGTGAACACAATCTTTAGTACATTCTGACCCTTCATTCTTTCGGAAGACGTTTATTGTGCCCTAGAATAGGTTCTTCCTGGAGTTAGTGGAAAAATTGTAGACTTCGGCCTAGCTACGCACCTGGTACTGAGCACTTTAGAAAAGCAATTCAATATAAAAAAAAAACAACAACAAAGGATTACCAATATACATGTACACACCTACAATTTTATATTAAACAACTCACTGGTGTTTGACATTCTGTTTGGTTTAGAGGCGCAGTGTAGTTGACGGACTTTGAACGCGACATTTTAGTGACGAAAATAGGTAGTGGGTTAGAGAATTGTAGGTTTTTTAGGACAGTTACTTGTAGACTCTTGAAGGGATAACAATATATTCAACTACTGACACGACTGAAGCCCATTCTGTATTAAAGTTCGTTATTGTGTCTTATCAGGTCTAGACTTAGTGAATGTGGGGTGGCAAGCAGTTTGTAACGGTGTATGTCCAATGTTTAGTGATTGTGGGCTGACCCGTTTGTAACGGTGTATGTCAAATGTTTAGTGATTGTGGGGTGACCTGTTTGTAACGGTTTATGTCCAATGTTTAGTGATTGTGGGGTGACCAGCAGTTTGTAACGGTGTATGTCCAATGTTTAGTGATTGTGGGCTGACCAGCAGTTTGTAACGGTGTATGTCCAATTTTTAGTGATTGTGGGCTGACCTGTTTGTAACGGTGTATGTCCAATGTTTAGTGATTGTGGGCTGACCCGTTTGTAACACTGTATGTCCAATGTTTAGTTATTGTGGGCTTACCCGTTTTTAACGGTGTATGTCCAATGTTCGTTCTCGTAATTGTAACACACCTGACAGTACACCCAAGCATCTATTCAATCCATCCATCCCAGTGGCGCTACAGCCCATGGAGGGCTCTGGCCTGCTTCAAAACATCCTTCCATTCAGAACTTTCCTGGGCCTTTCGTCGCCACGCCCTAACCCCAAGCTGCTTCAGATCTGCCACCACATCGTCTATCCATCGCATTCGGGGTCTGCCTTTGGGTCGCCTGCCTTTTGGTTTTTGCCTGTAATCGATTTTCGCTCCTCTGTTGTCTGACATTCTTTCAAGGTGACCTGCCCAACGTTGTCTGTTCCCAAGCATCTATTATCTTATCAAATACAGATGTTACTTTAAAAAAGATAAATATGTCCTACGATTTTCCTACGATTGTTCCTAAGTCAATCAGGCCATGCACGTTAATCAATGACTTGAATCCCTGTCTGACTCAGGCAACTCATTTCATGCTCTAATAGCACTATGGAAGAAGGAGCATTTGGCGTTAGTGCTATTTTTTGGTGGGGAAAAATGGATTGGGGGGGGGGGGGGGGGAATAAAAGGGTACCACTTTAGATCTTCATACCTTTAGATATAAATGCCTTTTTTTTTTTTTTTTTTTTTTTTTTTGCTTTTTGTCTTATTTTAGAATTGCACATAATCAATATTGTAATGTCTGGCCAGCGCTGGAATTCAAATATATTTCAAAATTGGTAAAACACAGACAAGAACAGAAAAACAAAACACAATTAAATGATTAAAAACAACAACTCCGTAAAGAAAAGAAAAAAAAACTTATATTTAATCAGATTTTATGCAAAAGTTTAACTCTTACATTTCATATTTTAAAAAAATTTACTATATCAATGAGTTTGCGTTTTTTTTTAAAATTGTGACTTCACATAGCAACTGCACTGACCTATGTTTCAAAATTCAACTCTATTACATGCGTGATCGTTGAAAGTAGGAGCTATTTTAAACGGTTTAATTTTTTAAAAAAATTACCCACACGTGCTAAGTTGTGACAACTGGTGCCAGGTAACCACATCACAGGTGATCACACCACATCACAGGTGATCACACCACATCACAGGTGATCACACCACGTCAGAGGTGACCAACGAAGAATTTGTTTGGACGGACAGTAAGAAACGCGGCAAATATTTCCTTAGAGTGTAGAGACGTAAAGGAATACAATCAATCAGAAAATAAACTTTTTAACTGACATCATTTCTACACTAAGATTTGAACTCAAATACTGTAGAACCTAAAATATAGGCTACTTTCTTTGGATATTGTTGAAGTTTTTTTTGTTTTTTTTTTTACTGATAGGCCTATATAGATGTGTGATTTTTCCGCAGTGAGCTATGCGTATTGCATCCATATTTTCTTATATCTTGTTATTGTTTTTTTTTTATTGTTTTACAAATGGTGGAAAACATGTTGAATATTAGCTTGTTTTGAGTTTTAATGAGGATTTCTTGACATTTCACAATTCCCTAGAACTAGACAAAATAATACATTCCACCAAGATGTGCATGAAATTTGACCCGATGTTAAAACGCATGATTTGATTAGATAGAATACATGGACGTGACTTATGCATTTAATGGACCCCATTCACCAATCGTAAACAAACAACATTTAGCCACGTGATTAATATTGATAAAACAATTAATGTAACATATCACTTGACAGCCTTTATGGATTGCGTAATTTGTATACAAGATATAGAGAACATCGTGGCAAAATGTTTTTTGTTTAAGATTGGTAAATGAGGTCCATTATGCTAAGAAAAAAATCTGTTAGAAAAGATTGCTGCATCAAAGCTGATTAAATTTATTTTTCAACATTGGGAATGATTCCAGTATCGTCTTTGGTTGTAAAATAGGTACGAAAGACAAAGTTGTAGAGCATTTAAAACGCACAATATATTTTTTTAAAAATACTGAAGAAAAAGAAAATCGCCAAAGAGTGTGCTCCACAAATGCGTCAAAAGCACATCGAGGTGACCTTTGACTTCCAATGTGTGCACACCCTTGACCTACATCTAGAATGCTTTTCTGCATAACAAAGTTCTATAACTCTGGAAAAATTATTTACGTGATAAAAATACCAGTTATGTCTCATACATTGGCAGTATTAAAGTTCACAATAAATAAGATCAAATACGAGGAAGTATAACAAAGAATTTTACATGATCTAATTTAAACCAACAACAAACTTAATTTCTAAAGTCAAAAAAAATAATTTTTCTTGGCATTTCTTTCGGCTATACTGAAAATTATCAAATAAAAAAATATATACATATTTATGAAAACCACAGCTTCCAAAAATGAAAATATGCAATTAAAATTCTATGTACCAAACAAACTATATAGCTTTCATTATTTTGAAAAATCATTATATATATATATATATATATATAGACTTATGTGACCTCAACGGAAGTGACATATATCTAGTGGGTTACAGAATGTCATTAAAAAAAGCGAAAAGTTCGTTTCGTCAAATTTAATATTTAGATCGAGTTTTTTAATTCTAATAGGAGAAGCATGAAATATTCAAAAAAGATAAAACTATTTTATAACATTTAGCGCCACCATCCCATTTATTAATGAAGGAAGACATGTCTTTCATGCCATATCAGAGTGAAGAAAACACCATTAATCTATCGTCTTTCACGTAATTATGTAGATTAGAGTCCCAAATTAAAAGAATACCGTAAGTCAGTGTTTCCGAAACTGTGTTCCGCAAAGTCTGACAGGCGTTCAACTAACTGTGGATTAAATAACTTTTAAGGCCACCACGTACATTAATCTCTCTAAAAATAAACAAAATGTTCCGCTAATTACTGAGAATGTGCGAACTACAGTGCGAAATGTTCCGCTAAGGAGAAAGGTTGAGAAACACATAAATTAAAAAAAAAAATAATTTTAAGTAATTTAGTGAATATGTATCTAAATAGAATATGTTGTTAAATTACGTATTTTCTGTACGGACCATTGTATTTCAATGTAGTTTTTGATATCGTCTTCCATTAATTCTTTTTAATTTAACTATATGTCAAGAAGCCATTTAGTTCATTCAACATGTAATACGAGAGATTATACGGCTGTAATTACTTCTTTTTTTTTGCGTTAATAAAATTGTTGCTTTGCATAATACAACAACTTAAGAAGAATCACTATAAAATATATCACTATATGTAACCGATGTACATGTATATACATTAGATCAGTGGTTCAATAAACTTGATAATAACATTCAATGTTATCACTGTATACTAGCTCGATAAAAGATATAAAGCTGTTGAGATTTATTCTCTTTATCGTTATGATCTAGCCACTATAAATAGCCTCATTTTGTTTATTATATTGAGATATTGCCTTACTTAATTTGTACTCAGTGTTTGATCTTTGCTACAAACGACTAAACTCGTTTGCACTGTCTTTTCTGTCGTCTGCCGACTTGGCTAAACTTCCGTTTCCGGTTACGTTCCCGTTGCCCATCTCCGCATCTTTGAGATCATGAGGTTTGCTGATGTCGTCATCAAATGCTGTGTTGACGTAAGAGAGCTTGTCTTTGTCGCCGGGGGCTTCATTAATGAACAATGTGTTCTTGTCGTTGACCTCCGAGGTTTTGTCTGCCTTGTTAAGCTCAGACAAATTTCTTCTGTTGATCCAACTTTGTTTCGGTTTCATGATCTGAAAAAAATGATAACATTTTTATTTCGATTTGTTTAATTAATTTCACTTTTTAAACAGGTGGGGGGGGGGGGGGGGGGAGGAAGGCAACTAGTATATATATATATATATTGTTGTAACCCTAGTTGCGGACTGAAAGGGTTAATGTGTGTGCCGCCTACTGATACACACGACTGAGGCCAATCACACAGGTCAACGGGTCAACGCTGTCGATAGACAAGGGACAGTATTGCTAGTTCACGCAAGTATGACCTGTGTTGTGGTCATGTGATCAAGAGCCTTCACGGTCGAGAAGGACAGGGACAGTGGAGGCCAGAACAGCAAAGCACTAAGGACTGTGTGGTACCTTTGAGTCTTCCAGAATGTAGTGTACGAGCTAGAGAGACTAGTAATGTTTAGTTAGGCAGTTCTGTAGTGTAGCAAAGCATTTGAATTTGATGTAGCCAATTGTGTTGGATTGGCTGTCGATGTATTTGTAATTAAAACGCCACTTTGTTACTTGAGGCTCTTGTTGTCAAGTTCTTGTGTTAGATGTGCTATGTTGTGTTGTTAAGTAGTGTTTGCAGAAGGCTTGATTGAGAAGATCGTAACAATATATATATATATATATATATATATATATATATATATATATATATATATATATATATATATATATATATATATATATATATATATGCCTATATAACTAAATAACTGTGGTTAGTTAATAAATCAGTCAATGTCCTTTTATTCCAAAAAAGATCATGACCTATGACTTTTTAAATTAAATTAAAGTAGGATTCGAAGTTTGAAGAGGTACACAGAGAATTAAACACATTTAACATAGATTTGGCCATGTTGGCCATGTTTTGTTCACATTACAATGTATGATATGCGATCCGATCTATTGTCACGGTCTTTTATAATACACTGTTTGCCACAGGCCATCACAAACCCTTCTAGGGCTCATGTACTCCTGTATGCTTGTGAAAGTTGGACAGTGAACGCTGAGGTGGAATAAAGAATCCAAGTCTTTGAGAGTGAATGCTGCATAAACATAAACATGCTGGGTACCTGGAAAAAAAGACAAATGAGTTACAAGTCAGCATTCTGGCTGGCAAAAAGGATTAACCCTCTCAACACTGGGAAGAGACGAAAGCTGAGCTGGTCCATAGTGTAAGACTTGACTCACTGTCTAAAGTTATCTTTCAAGGTACAGTGGAGGAGGGAGCACGAAGAAAGGGTCGTCCAATGAAAAACTGGCTGGACAATGTACAAGAATGGACCGGCCTCTCTCTTGTTATCCTACAAACAACAAGAGTTTAACCGTTGCTTCGTGTGATATGTGTACCCCTTCAAACATTGCAATATAAAGGACAGATATTATATAGGTTAACGAGGGTGTCATGTGGCCAGCACAACGACCATCTGCTTTTATTTTCCCCAACTAATTTGAGGTAACCATCAGAGTTAGACAGACCCAGAAGCATCCTTAAAAATTTAAAAATTCAAAATCACAGACATTAAAAACCGAGACCCCATCGGTTAGGAAGCCAAGCTCTTACCACTCAGTAAACAAGCCCCACACATACAAACTTATAACATACAGAGATGGGTACTTAAATCCCACATATATATATACATACTTATAACATACAGAGACTGGTACTTAAATCCCACATATATATACATACTTATAACATACAGAGACTGGTACTTAAATCCCACATATATATACATACTTATAACATACAGAGACTGGTACTTAAATCCCACATATATATACATACTTATAACATACAGAGACTGGTACTTAAATCCCACATATATATACATACTTTGAACATACAGAGATGGGTACTTACATCCCACATATATATACATACTTATAACATACAGAGACTGGTACTTAAATCCCACATATATATACATACTTTGAACATACAGAGATGGGTACTTACATCCCACAGTCCATGCTTCAGAGAGTAGTGGAAGTAAAGAATCGGCACCCACATCATGGTGAACACTACGATGAGGTAGTACAGCAGCCCCACCCATCCAGGGTGGAAGTCCTCCATTTGATACGCCTTGAACACCACCACAGCCTGCAGACGGATAATGTAAAGTTTCAATGTGTGGTGTATACAGTGAGTAGCACGTCACACTACGGACATATTGTAGCTGTTTTAAGCACGAATCTGTTGATCACCCATTATATACAACTTACAACTTGCAAAAGTGTGCCATGGTTTTGTTAAAAAGACAGGGGAACTCTTATTTAGCATTGTTATTGCCCTAATATCCG